TCCACGGCCCGGAGGTTGCTGCTGCGGCTGCCCGCCGAACTGGCGCTGCGGCATGCCGGGCTGCGGGGTCGCGGCCTGTCCCGGCGCCGGTCCCGCACCCGGGATCGTGCGCTGGCCCTGCATCGGGACGTGGTTCTGCGGCGCTGCATTGGGGGCGACGCCGGGCGCGGCATTCTGTTGGCCCTGAACCGGCTGCTGCGCCTGTGCAGGCTGTTGCGTGGCGGCCGGTTGCTGAGCCTGCGCAGGCTGCTGCGTTTGTGCAGGCTGCTGCTGGCCCTGCACCGGCTGACGCTGAAAGCCCCTCTGTTGAGCGTTCGGCGGTGCGCCGGCGCCCGGCGCGGTGTTCTGACCCTGCACCGGTTGGTTGCCCTGCGGCGTGCCGGGCGGATTGCCCTTTTGCTGCGCGCGGAATTGCTTGCTTTGCCCGGGCGTGCCGGGAGCGTTCTGGGCATTTGCCGGCGCGTTCGTTGCCGGCGCTTGAGCGGCAGGCGCTTGAGCAACAGGTGCCTGCGCCGCGGGCGCTTGAGCTGCAGGTGCATGCGTTGCAGGTGCTTGCGCTGCAGGTGCCTGCGGCGCGCCGTGTTGCATCGGCGCGCCATGCTGTCCGCCCGGCCCACCTTGCTGGGGCGGTCCGCCCTGCACCGCTTTCGGCGCTCCCGCAGGTGGCCCGCCCGCGCCGCCTTGTGGACCCTTGGGTGCCGCAGGCGCGGCCTTCGGTGGGGCGCCCTTCGGCGGCGCGCCGTGTTGCTGTTGCTGTTTGGCGTTATCGGGTGGGGTGGGGGCTTGCGCGACGATGATCGTGCCTTCGCGCGACTCGTTCATTCCAACGCCGCCAGCGATTGCTTGCGATGTCGCGGCCTGCGCCAGCGCTGCGGTCGGCAACATGATGCCGGCCAGCAAGGCTTGGCGAAGAGTTCGATGCATCGCGTGTCGTGCGAGATGCGCGTGTCGTGCGAAATGCCCCACAGTCTCCTCCGGAGTTGGCGTAACGTTGGCAGGATGGACTACCGGCGCATTGGGGCCGGAGTTTGTTGCGCAAGCCATTTGAAATGAATGGATATT